ATTCAGATGTTAATTGCATTTCCGACTACTAGATTAAGAGTTAATGTGCAAAGCATGGCAAATGTATGTATATTAAATTTGAAAAATAAAAAAATAAAACTAATAATATAATACTTTAATTTATCCAAATATATCGCGTGCAGCTTTCGATTATTAACAGCTATCTAATCATTACCATTACTATACACTGACATTGTGAGCTTCTTTTAGAAAATTTTCCAAGATCAATGGGTTTAATTTCTGTACCATCGATAAAATGTGCAGTAAGGCACAAGTAGCTTTTGCTATTATACTTGTCCGTCCAAATATCCGACGTCAGCACAATGTTATCAATCCCTGTCAGATTTTCTGTTACAATCGAACTTAGCGCTACAAATTTCTCGTCAATGCGACTTGTAATCGACATCCTACTTGGAATAGTAGTATAACGGTGCAACAACTTTGAGTACCGTTGAAAACCTTCTATGATGGACAGTAACTGTAAGTCCTTAAATTATAAATGTGATTGTGTTTGTGATTTGTTCTGATTTACTACCATCATCTGTAACATAGATTTGATTTTTGGTTTATTACATTAAACTGAATTAAAATGTTTTAATTTGATTTAAATTTATCAAATCGAATTAAAATGTATTAAGTGCAATATCGAATTTAGTTATACACCAATACTGAGAGTTATTTACCCTTTAATTTGCCAAAAATAGTATGAAAAGAAATTTAAAAATAGTGAATTTAAGCTTTCTTTTAGAAAAAATTATTGTAAGTAAAGCTAGTCACTGGAAAATTTGTTCTATTAAAAATAGATTAGTGTTAATTCGAGCATATTTTAATCTTGTGTTCATTTTTAGTATAATATAGTATGATAATATAAGATTTCTACTCTCAATCTCAATGATCACTCAAATTACTTTTCTTTTTGATATTAGTAACAAACAAGAAAAATTAAGTGTAGACGTTAAATTCGTATATATGTTAGTAATTAAAATATTTATTCTGACATAAAGAGAAAGAGTTTTTATCTTTTAATTAGAAATTTGTTTAGTACAAAAATACATTAAACAAGTTACCATTATATTCACTTATCTTCGAAAAAGCCTTTCTAGTCGGAACTTGCTTTTGTGTTAAAGTCTGTTTTTTCATGTTAGTTATATCACATATCACTTTCAACAATCTGCAGACGAAGATTTAGAATCAGGATTATCAATAACATGATCATTTTTAGATGTAATTTCTTTTGGAAAAATTTGTTGAACTATTACAGGTTTATGCATTCACTTCAGGTGATTCTTTTAGATTTGTTATACTGTTGTGGTGCTTGTAAATATTATGCATAACGTACAACGCTTTGATATTACATCATAGGAAACGAAATATTGATTAATCAAATCCTTATCGGATTTAGATGCTACTTTATTGGCAATGTTGTTGTTGGAACAGTGCCAATTGATGCTTTTTATTTCCCACAGTTTACAAAGATAATAGATCAAGAATTTCTAAAAATTTAATATTTAAAATGAGTTAAACTTGTACCGTATATGTAATATGACGTAACTGCATTCGCACGCAATGGTGTTTCGTAATTCACTGCGAATATTGAAAATCTATAGTATACATAACGTAAACTATAGATTTTCAGTATTTGCAGTCAATAATTTTTTTTACAATTACTTACGTTTATCTCTGTCTTTTCATATTCGACAACTGCAGATGTAACTTTTGTTTTCTATCATTAGTGTCATTAGCCTGCTGGATCAGTGATGTTATTTTCACCATGACCAGTGCTTCAGTGATGCCAGGATTTTTGACGCATGCTCCAGGCCCTCCCTACTCTTAAAAAGAAACGTGTACATATGTATGTTTCTTTTCAAGAATAAGGGCCTAGAAGTAATAGTCTATCTCAAGCGCATTGATTGGCTTAAGATAGAGAATTTTTGAAGAAATCGGAAATTTAGATGATGTAATCATGCTTGAGAAAGACTAACTGAATATGCGTCAGAAATCCGCAATCTAGGATCACTGCTGGATTCACATTGTTCACGATTTCCGATGTCCGGACATACGATGTACGATGGTAGGACATATCCAATAAGAGAATGCCAAGAATGAGAGAATTCTGTAACTAGATATGGTGAACGCTAAAGTCATGTTATCTAGGATCAACGCGACAAATGCTTTAAAGCAATTTTTGATTGGTCAATTTGTAAAATTTTTTTTTCTAATTGGTCTAATTGGTCAACCAAATGCTTCAAAGCATTTGTAGTGAGATTTTGGGTGCATTCCATTTCATGCATGATATGCATAATGCATCATTTATCTTTGTTTAACATTTGGTGAACCTTTTTGCACCCTTTGATCACAACCCTAGTAAAAAGACGAAACTGCACATCATTGATGCGAATGAGCAGTTTTGTTTCTCTATTATATTATTAAATAACGTGACTTTACTGTAGAGTCTATATAAAAGTCACAACAATCTAAAATAAAATGACGTCTAACAGGGACTCTATTCTAAGAAGGACTTTAGGCCGGAATCCATTCTTAATATTTGTTCGCATCACATGCTCCAACATGCTCCAATATGCTCTTATCATAGTTCTTACTCACTCCAATGCGCTTATTAGAACTACATATGGTAGGAGCATGTTGGAGCATGTTGAAATATGCGACATGAACAAATCTTTAATCTCAAGACAATCTTAAGCAATATCTTAAGATGCTATATATAATACGGCTCTCTGATTGGTTCATGACTCATGAACTAATCAATGTCTCAAGCGCTAGCTTAAGATCATCTCGAATCAACGTCTGTTGGATTCGCCTCTAGATTCTCTTCTTCTTAGACTCTTTATTACGTAGAGTAATCATTCTGATTTATTCTACGCAGATTATCGCCAATCATCACGTTTATGATACTCAAAATGGGGATATAATAGCATTGATGATCGGTTCCGTTATTTTACTTCCAATGAAAATTTTTGCAAGATCGTGACTCTTATATAGAGACTCTAGTTTACCGTATCTATATAGATATACGACACAGGACATGAGCCACTCACAGCGCTAGAGCAGTGGCAAAAACTCTAGGTTCTGTAATTGGCAGTGTCCAATCACTCGATTTAAAATCGATTTTTCAAAAAAAGTCAATTCTCGATGCATCAATCCAAGAATTGGCATTACTAGCGCTCACGCATACCATACTACTAGGCGCGCAGGATACTTACGGACGTACGTCAGTTTAAAAGACGGTGTTCATTGGATTAGCTTTAATCCATAATAACTGCTTGACTATAGAAAAAATGGCTCAGGACATTTCGATTCAATTTTAGATCAGGATTAACGTTATATACTTAGTATCTGCTCTCTCTCTCTCTCTCTCTCTCTCTCCTCTCTCCCCCCCTCCCTCCTTTTCCCCTTCTCTCTTCCTCTCTCTCTCTCTCTCTCACTCTATATATATATATATATATATAAAATGGGTCGGGAGGACGTGCATATTCGGCTATCTATATATATATATAAAATATATCATATATTATGTCATACGTACAGAGCGTTACTAAGGAGGTACTCTTTCAAACTACGTTCTCGACAATGCAGTATTGAATAGAGATTCCTTTCGGCGGCACGAGAAGTCATGCAAGATAGCAAATAATTCTGTGAGCGGTTGGTATAATAATTAAAGAAGTTAATCGCAACAAGCTAATCACAGTAATATTCGATTGTACACTGAGAAACCCATTTAGTTGAATCAAGGATTTGTTTGCCCATATCCAAACAAGAAATTAATTGATTCAACTAAATGTTTCTCAATGTACTCAACGCTTTATCAAAATTCGACCTCAAACTTGACCGCGAAAATAACGAGAGCTATTACAACGGAAAATTATAAAAATCTAGAACATGCGAGAATATTATATTATACGAAACTAACAAAATCTCGACACTAAGATGCGATACAAAAATGTGATGCAACAATACAGAGTGACACTTTGCTGTGGCCGTGGCGGGCGTGTAAATCGACATTTAGGCTGCGCGCAGGTTGGTGAAGTAAGGAGCAAGAATCAAGCTGAAAATCGGCCGAATTTTGTGATAATGTTTTAAAAGAGAATTAAATAACCACTACTTTAGTTGGAAGAGAAAATGTCTTTGAATGAATTGTGATATAATAATCTCATTTAAGAGGAATTTAAACCATTATTTGGATTGAAATAAGAAGATCCTTCAATCAGATATATGTGTACTTAGGTTTCATTGTATAAAAATTAAAGATAGTACAGGGTGGGCCATCTATTGGTACGTTTTTAAAAATGCGATCAAATGAGCATACATTGATATTTTTTATTAATTTTTTTTTTGTTGTGAAGCTAAAAGTATCCGCGTCAAGAATGAAAAACGATTTCGTTCATGTGGCTCCCTCTACTGGCCTTACAGTATGCCATTCGGTCACCCCAATTATTAATGACATTTTGGACTACCTCGGCGCCAATTTCACTCAAAACAGTCGTAATATAATGTCATCCACTAACATCCCTTTCTCACAAACCTTCCTCACCAATTTGCGTATAGCTCCTTCAGTGGGTTCTCTATCACGACCCATATTTCTTTTCAAAATTCGTACAGTTTCGGCGACACAGCACTGACTTTGAAAATAAGTTTTTAAAATTTCAAAACGCTCTTCAAGAGAAAACATGTTGTTTCGTGCCGCGGACGGTATGACTAATAAACTGTCAAAATTTCGGGTCTGTAGCTCGTTCGGTGTTGCCATACGACGAAATTCAAAAACGTACCAATAGATGGCCCACCCTGTACCATTTGGATTATGTAAATTCAAATTATGTATATACGTATATGCGTGCGTGCGTGCGTGCGTGCGTGCGTGCGTGCGTGCGAACATTTATATTATATTTACATCTTATAATTATTTTATAATTATCAAAATTGCTAATTATATCTTTCATATTTTACTTCATATGTACTAACGATAAACTTTATTTATGTGTCAGGTGGGGCAGTACACCTTTGAAGAAACATTTAAAATGCGATTTGCGGTTGCATTTGAGCAGCATAATGCCACACTTAGTGCAGCCACTATGGCAACCCTCAGTATAGAACAATTAGACGCCGTACGTAAACTCAACAGTCTGGACCTAGAACTCTACGAATTTGCAAAGAATCTTGCTTTTCAAAGATTTAAACGGCTTAGAGATCGTGATCCACATTTCGTACAACGATTCCAACACCTTGGTGAATTGCCATCGAGGCAAAGTGCCACAGAATTTAATTGGGATTCTGTCATTGAAGATACCACGGATAACGAATGATGTGTGAGTATATTATTAAACAATTCTGGATGCTTTGCATTCGACATCAATCATTATTATGTATTTAAGAGTCTGAGGAAATGCCCTTGGAACAGAATACTTTATGTATAAATCATTGCATACTTATTTGCATAAAATTTATTAAAAGCATAGAAATATACTTGGACTAAGATCAAAGAAAAGTTCGAGAACCTTAATGTGATGAATTTATTAAGTAATATGGTTGATTCCAAGATTAATAGGATCGAGCATTTTCTCTATTCAATAATTTCCTTTTTCCAATACTCATTACTTTTATTCTAATAGCAGGTGCGCGAAATGAGAATATTGTCATGCATTTTCTCTTACTCATTTTCTAATTCTAATTAGCCATTTTTAGTCACATGGAAAGTATGAATATTAAGAGAGCAACAAAAGAGAAGCACAGGCTAATAGGACAAGTTTGCTTGGAATAAAAGAAAATCTAAAATAAAGGAATCACTCATATTCGCAAAAATTGTTTATGAAATATTTGTAAATTTTATAAAAGTTCTTCCATAGTAATATGTTTTTGCTTATAGTTATACAGATAATAAAATTGCTAATTTTTTACATTTATAACTTATTAAATTAAGGCCTTATGCGCAAAGTAAAGTTTATTCTTAATGTGTACATATATTTTTATGCCAATTTATTAATTTGTATATTTTTTGTATAAGCTCTATACAAATATTTGTTTTTTTCATTTCATCTACGAATTTTTATACAAACGGTGTTTATGACATGCTATTACAATATAACGTTAATACAATTTAAACTTATATATATTGCATATTATTCACTATATTATATACAAGTATTATATACAAGATAATTTTTTACATTTAAAAAAATTAAAAATTCTTTTAAAAACTAAATGAAAACATCATTAATTTTTGTTACTTTTTATTTATATATTTTATTTTACACTATTACCTATGAAATCTTGTCTCTGAATTTCCAAAGATATATATTTTCAATACAAAGTTTCTATTCTACTATTATATTTTCATAAAAACTTGTGGAATACACTTTTCGTACAATCTAAATCACCGAAGATAATAAGTAAAATTTCTTAATATATTGAATGGGATTTAAAACAAATGGGCCTAGTAATTAAGAAAACTAAAAAAAGATGAAAAAAATAATATTATTACACTCGTGGCATTCCCGTTTATTTTATACGCGTGCAGCAAACTTGTATGCGGAAATAAAAGAGATATTTTTGAACAAAAACGAGAATCTTTATTATGGAACATGTCAAAAAGTTTATTCGCATGCTCCTATCATTAGTTCCTACTCTAACAAACACGAGTGAATAATGCCTATTGCACACTGGATAAGAGATGAGCGACGGGCGATATCCAATGAGAACTCTCCTTTGCATCGTCACAAAAAAGCAGAGCTTTCATTAGATATCGCTCGTTACTCATTGTTCATCGCGTTCAATGTGCAGTAGGCATAAGAGTTATTGGCCTAGTTTATACCCTATGTTTAGGCCGCTACCCATACTCTAAATCTAATCTAAACACGACAGGTCGCAATGGTGTAAATAGCTGTAACCTCGCTTAGGTGAGGGATCTTTTTCAAGATCCCTAACCTCACTTAGGCTGCATGACACAACCATCTTTAACGCATGTAAACACATGTAGATGATTAAAGGCGTAAAGTATAAAGAAATACTGGCAGATGGTACTCACGTGAGACTAATTGCTACTATATTAAGCCCGAAAATATTATAGATTTAGATGGGATAAACGCTCCTTTAGGTTAGGATATAGGTTAGGATACAAATCAGGTCGTTAAGTATAAACTAGGCCATTGTTAGAGCATATTAGACCATGTTGAAGCATGTAATGCGGATAAACCTAACCTAAAATGTCAAAGCTCTGAATCAGAATTACAACCATGGTGAAACCATCGCTAGGGAGAGGATCCTCTCGTTTTCAGGATATATCGACTGCATCACTTTAACGCGGTCACTTTAACAAGCAGCGAGAGACATCGGCGCAACCATGGAAAAAATGGCGAATATATAGCGTTTTCCCTTGAGATACATTGGGTGAAGCCATGGAGGATAGAGATTAGAGTTTGAAAAGTGTGGTCAAAATCAAATTCTGAATTGGTATTGGTGGTGCTCAGTAGGCGGCGTTCGAATCATAAAACTTTCATATACGCTTAAACACACAACTGAACACACATAACCTAAGAAGATATTATTCTTTGACATCATGCTCTGACAATAACAGGAAGATGTAAATTCACATAAATTGTCATTAAAACTGTATGAAGAATGGAGCATTCTTTATGTAAAATTGATATGACCATGCAAACTATGAGAACAGTGTCGTGGAACGAAAGCGACATCTCGATCGAATTAATTCAGATGATTACTTTTGAACGCTTTTTGATGGCCTTATCCATATAAGTTCGGTCTCCTTAGTCTCTATCCTCCATGGGTGAAGCCTTGCGCCCACGAAGTAAAGAGACTCAACTCCTGAAAAAAAGTGGAACCGTTTCGTAAGCCGAATTGGGAGGGAATCCGTTACCGGATAACCGGTAGAATAACCTATTAATTTGGATGCCGTGATTTGATATTTGCAATATCAATCTTACCTCATTTTAGGTCTGTTTTCTGTGGCTGAACTAGTGTACACTTTTGGAATTTAAAGTGAGACACTTAGATATACATTTGATATTTGTCGAAAGCGAGAAAAAGAATTCTAGAGCAGTCTAGTGCAAAAACAGAAACAGATCATTTATTTGCTGGCTTTATATTACGTTTTATCAGTACCTGTGAACCTATTCTGTAATTCTTAATGCAAATATCGGTATCATTATAACGCCGCTACATAGCTCTTTTACTATGGTAAAAAAGCTGCCCAAGCATTATAACAATAACGAAACTTAAGAGCAATTAAGAGTTACAGAATAGACTTGCTGATGTCTCCTGTTACGAAGTAAGAGGTTATTTTGTGTACAACTGGTACAGCTGACTGCTTTTTGAAACATGGAATCCAAATTAGGTTATTCTTCTCAGCGAACTTTTTCTCAATTCAGCGCACAAACTGATTTCACTTTTTCTCGCACACTATCAAGTTGAATCTCCTTATCTCTTACTTCGTGTTTGCCTCACCAGCAGCGTGTAAGCGCTGCACTATACTGGAGTGCTGGAGTGCTTACTATGGTATATACTACTTCATTATCGCATTAAAATCCTGCTACCAGTTAACTTCCATTTTCAAATTTTAAATGTCACACTGATTTTATCACTTTTTTGAGATGGTGTAGCAAAATCCCACTTTGTGCATAAAACTTTCCATACAGCACCAAAAGTTTTCAGAAATATTTCAACTGAAAAGTGAAACATTTCATAAAAATTGCGAAATATGTCCATTTCTGAGACAGCTCTGGAATAGCAAAATGTCTGCGATACTTGCGCATGAAATCTTATTGAAAAGTTGATGAAATGTTACAGAAAGAATCTTCAATCTTTTTGAAATATTACCAAAAAAATTTCAGCTGCTTCTAGTATTACCAAAATGATATTTAAATATACTTGATTGATGCTTAAATAATATTTATTATGTCGACAATAAATTTAAATATTATTTTAAGTATTAAACATATATTTCAACATCATTTTTAAAGTACTTAAAATTTATTAAGACTTTTTGATTTTTTTACAGATTACAAAACTTTTGAAATAAAAATATTTCTCAGAAATAATTATCGCTAACTATTTTGATTAATTAATCATATTTTATGTACAAGCATATACAGGGTCACCAAAATCCGGATAAATCGAACAATTTCTTTAAACAAAATGTTTTTAATGAAAAATTAAATATTACATAAAATCTATTTACTAATATACCATCTGATAGTGTGGTTGTAAGATGGGATGCTATATCCAAGAAGACTAAAATTCCTTTGGACGAATTTTTGATTGCCTTCGGATGGTTTTAAATTCTACAGTTTTTATCTTTAATAAAAAAATATACAAGCAAATATTTGGGACCCCCATGAGTTCACCCTTGTCATCTGTTGTTGCAAATATGGTTATGCAGAACTTTGAAAAAAGGACTATCGGAATGCTGCCTTGTCGATTGCTATTTTATTATCGATTTACATTGATGATATTATCTTAGCTGCTTTGTCTGAGAGTGTTTGTGATATTTTGGATATTTTTTATTTGTTGCACACTAGATTGCAGTTCACCATGGAGATTGGCCTTGATGGAAAAATAAGTTTTTTAGATACGATGTTGATTATTGAAGAACGGAATCTTATTTTTGATATATACCGTAAAGCAACCTAACCTAACCTTTTCCGGTAGATTTCTTAATTTCCATTCACATCATCCACTTTGTCATAAAAGAGGTGTAATTTATGGAGTTGTGGATAAGATTTTTTGTTTGTGTAATCCGAAATTCCAACGAAATAATTTGATTGACGCTATTAAGATATTTTTACAGAATAGGTATCCGTTACGTTTTATTTTTTCGACTATTCATAATAGAATTAAATATCACATTAATATAATAAGATTAATAATTTGAATAAGAATAAGGAGACACTGAGAGATTTTTTACGATTCCATATACGATATCCGAAAGATTTATATCTATTGTAACATGTTTAATTGTAAATTGACTTTTATCATTCCTAATACATTAAGAAGTTTTATAAAGAGAGGAAAGGATGATTTAGAACACGTTCAGAATCAAAATGTGGTTTACAGAATATCTTGCGAGGATTGTGATGTCAGTTATGTTGGCCAAACTAAAAGACAATTAAAGACCA